ATATATATATATATATATATATATATATATATATATATATATATATATATATAGCACCCACAATTTTTGGGAAAGGTATACTATGAAATAGGGAATCTATCCAATCAAGTTGAAACTAAACTTGGGAAAAAAACAGATAGGTGGTTTTGTCAAACACATCAAACAAGGAAGATAATGATTTGACTCCAAAATTAAGCTTATTTTCAGGTACAATTAACTAGACCATAACTTAAAACAACCAAAGAGATTCTTCTTCTTATATCAATCATCGTCGTAAGAGAAGGTAATCTTGTTCCCACAAAACTCCTCGTATTCTTCCTCTATCCAAAGGCTTTCTCGTGGTAAGTAGCATTCGCACCAAAGCTTCTCTGCAAGGTCGTACTTGGGTCGGACAGGGTACTGAGCCATCTTAGCCACGTCAAGAATAATGAGACGACCCTTCATTCCTCTCACTTGATTCTTCATTTTCAGCACCTTCTTTGCTTCGATAGCAGAAGCAAATTCAACAAAGCCACAGCCCACAAGCTTACTCTTGTAATCTACAATAAGTCGAACACTAAGTTCAACATCTTGGAAGAAAGTTAAGATTTGTTGTATTTTGCATTTGACAGCAAGATTTGAAATAAAGAGTGTCTTTTTTTCTCACAGAAACTTCCTCAACATAATCATCAAGTCCTTCCACTGCCTCATCTTCTTCTATTGCCTCTTCTTCTTCTATCAAAAGGTTTTCTCCCCGAAGGTAGTCTTCGTACCAAACCTTGTGATCTATGCACCACATGGTCGGTAGTGGAGTGAGTGGAGCTATCTCAGCCACGCCAAGAACAACATGATGCCCGCACAATAGTTCACCATTCTTCTTTTCCTGCACCATCAGAAAGCATTCTTTTCGAATGCAGTCTTCATGCCAAATCTTGTGTTCTCTGCAAAACCTGGGTCTTTGAGGGTATGGAGTTATCTTAGCCAAGCCAAGAGTAATCCTCTTATCACGCAAATATTCACCATTCTTCTCTTCCTGCACCCTCTCTGCTTCGCTTGCAGAAGCAAACCCAACAGAGCCAAAGCCAAGATTTCCACCCTCGGGGTTTAAAAATCTTCGAACACAGACAACTTTTCCAACACCTTTGAAGAAACTGATGATGTCTGATATTTGGGTTTGGGGAGCGAGGTTGTCAATAATGAGCGTCTTTGTGCATTAGGTTTTGTTTTTATTTATTTTTTTCAATTTGCATTAGGTTTTTTTTAAGTTTGTTTGAAAGGGAATTGCATCGTGTTGCAATGGAGGAAATTAAAATTTAAATAATAAATTCTCTTGTAGCCTTGATATTTGTCATGATGTGGGATTTCTCAGTGGTTTGATTAATTGATTCATTGTGGTAATTATTTTATTGTTATTCTCCGTTAATTCATATTTATTAATAAGATCTTCAAAAGAATTTTTTTTTTGCATTTTGTGTTTAATAGGGAGTAGTCCAATTTCATGTATACTCTTTCTGTTGTTCTTTGTTGGGAAATTGATTAATAATCATAAGAAAAAGAAGAAAATAAAGGAAGAGGAAAGGAAAAAGGTGGAGGACATGGTCATATGGATGCATGTCCGTGACTTTGCTTTTGGTTAATTGGAATCAAAGGATGTGTCCTTTTTTGGCTCTTAGTGTTGGCATGACTCATTTGAGTATTATAAAGCCATGAAGAGTGAGTGATATGTATGTGTGTGGTTTACACACCAAGGTAGAGAGAGAAGAGGAAGAGG